TGTCACCTGAAGAAGCCACTGTCGAAGAAGAAACTCTATTTGGTTTTGAGAAGGAAAACAGTGAAGCCCTTGATGAAGTTACTATTACTGATGTGACTGTTACCAATGATAGGACGTTTCCTGATGAAGCAGATGAACCCCACATGAAAAAGAAGCCAACGAGACAGAAACCAGTGCAGAAGAAGATACGTCCCAAAAAATTAAAAGACTTTGTTGAATTTTAATTTTGTGTTTGTAAATTCTGTACATTTAATTAAGTTATTGTTAATTGTTTATTAGTTTAATGTAAGTGGCTATTGTTCGGGACGAACAATACTAAGGAAGGAGCAATGTTACGACAGTGGGGGTCACGTGACGAGTATTCTAGAAGATTCGCTAGTGTGTGGCGACAGTGGGATTAAATTGACGCTGGTGGCACGTGTTGAGAGTCTTAGAAGTTTCTAGAACAGGCAGTATTATCGTATATAAGTGCGCTAGACAGTGAGAGAGACAGACGAGGCGGAGTCGAAGCAGTAGTGGAGACGGAGGCAGAGACGTGGCGAAGACGAAGCAGGCAGAGAGAAAGAAAGACAGCGATTACGGTCGGCGGGAGCGGAGGATAGCAGACACAGAGATCGGAACTATAGTTTGCGGGACGGACAATTAAGTCTAAGCGCAATAGAAAGTGAGTGAATTGTTGTGAACTATATTGTGTGTAACTGTGAAAATTAAGTGTATTACAAGTTGTATTGAGGAAGAATAAACAAGTTTTGTAAAGAAAGGACTTGTATCTTCGAAGTATTAACAAACAAACAAACAGAGACGTAGCAGTGTGTTTCACAGCTGTATTTAGCAACAGAGATATGAAAAATAACCTGTTTTGTCAATTGGGTTCTAAAGTAACTGAACCAGCCTGTGTATACTTTTGACGAAAATAAAAAGAGACAATTATTTAAAGCTCTGGATATAACTGTGGTAACCAACAAGTTAAGTCAAGTTAGTGAAAGTGAAGATAGACTGTGTGATTGTTACTTAAGTGGTAATGGGCGATATTTTAAACTTAAAGTGAGTTTCACAGTTTTTTGACGGAGATAAGGAAAATAATTTGTCTTGTCAAAGGGTGTTCAAAGTCTAAAGTAATTGAACCATTCTGTGTGGAATTTGACGAAAAGGAGACAATTATTTAAATTTAGGGATATAACTCTGGTAACCCACGGGGTAACGTAAGTGAATTTATTGCAAATTGTATAGTAAGAAACAAAGTAGAGAAAAATAATTCGTCTTGTCTATTGGATTATAAAGTAATTGAATCAGTCTGTGTGGACTTTTGACAAGAAAAGATCATTATTTAGAGTTTTTGATACAACTGTGATAACTTATCATCTAAAGAATTTTTGTACTTACGTTTGACTTGTTTTGAATATATTATTTTAAAACAGGTGGATTGTGTGCTGTCCGTTTATTGTTCGAATTTATCGCTAACAAGTCGCAAACGCCTGCTGTAAAATATGTGGCCTCTTATACAAAAAAAAAAAGCTCTGACAAGACTGATAGTGATTCCACAGTGGAATAAATGTCAGTCTCAGACACGAGCTGTGCTTCCGGGGTAGTATTTTCCGTAGCAAAGTCTGAATCACTCGCACTGTTGTCAGCATCAGGAATATCCTCTAATACTATTTCTGTATGGGCAACTTCTGATTAAACCGTTTCTTCTGATGGACTATTTTGTGTGCAAGGATTCGCAGAAATACTGTTGCTGTTTCCGCTTGCTCATTCCTCATCAGGATCCAGGTGTCAATGTTTTGCGCTCCCAATGAACAATTAAGCTACTGAGTTGTGATTGATTTGCATAGGCTACTGTACTGAATTTGACTTTCTCGCTTTTATGATTTTTTTTCACATAGTTTTCTTTATAGAGTGAGTCAATTTCCTTCCAGCACTCATTACAAATGACAATGACTTTTTGTGAAACCGTGACTCTGAAATTAAAACGTATGACTGTTAGTATCCTGATAATGAATACATGCAAAATGAAATTCATTGGGACATATAGGTGATATGTATACTAATTATTAATATGTGTATCGCTAAATATCACTAGATCAATTTTGTGAGTATTTTAAGAATTTTGCTAAATTTCATCAACAATCAATTATATAATGATAATGACAGGCTTAAAGCATAATTTTTGTGCAAAATCTAAGACTAAACAATATTGAAAGAGCAATTTTAACATCAAATTCAAGATCAAATATTTCCACCAGATGTACTATGAAGTTTAATTTTTCCACCTTTGCTGGCATGGAGGTATGCAGGATTCTCTTCCCTCTAAAGTGATACTACTGTTTTTCTAATTTGCCAGAGTCCGAGGAAAAAATTTGCTTGAACGACTCAATCTGCCCATAATTTTTGGGAGCAGTTGCCCCTTTCCCCCAGCCTGTATGCCTATGCTGACTTGTGACATTAATCCAGTTTCACTGAACTCCATTTATAACAACCCTCTGCTTTCTTTGATCTAGCCAATTTGTTATACAATGAACCAACCTATGCCCCACATATACAGAGATAACTTTGACAAGCTTTTTTGTCGCACCTTGTCAAATGCTTTATGAAAATCCAGGTGCACCAATTCCACACCCATACCCTTATCTACATAAATTCGTAAAATTTTAAAGGGACAAAAAGGAGCATTTTAGCCCATCAATGATGTCCCTTTTAGCTCCCAACCATAACCACCCCTTACTACTCATGTATTCATCCAATCTTTTGTTGAACTCAGTTAAATGTTTTGCCTCCACCACCCTTGAAGGCAGCTCATTCCAAAAGCCAACCACTCTGTTTGAAAAGTAATAATGTCTAAACCGCAGATGACTCCTACGCTACCAGAATTAAAATTTTTGACCCCTTGTCCTATTGTTTTCACTGCTAAACACAAAAAAGTTTGATGGCTCAATATTATTAATACCCTTAATAATCGTTACTCCTCAGTCAAATCCCCTCTGAACCTTCTCTTTCCTAGAGAAAACAAGTTTAGAGATTTTAGTCTTTCCTCATAGGACAATCCAACCATCTAGTAGCTCTTCTTTGAAACTTCTCCAACAATTCAATGTCCTTCTTAAGGAAGGCAACAAAAAATTTACACAGTGCTCTAAATTAGGCCTTACAAGAGATCTGTACAGTGAAACAATAAAATTCCTTGTCTTGTATTCAATATTTTTATAAATGCTACCAAAAATCCTAAAAGCTCTATTGCTAGCTACAATACACTGTTTTTTTACACAAATGATTTTTCTACCACAACACCAAGATCTTTTTCTTCAACCACAGTATTTAATGTATTCCCATTTATATTGCAACAGTAATTTGAATTGTGAAAGCCTACATGCATCACTGTACATTTCAGATAATTAAACATCATCTGCCATGTATTGGTCCAATGCATCAAATGATCTTAATCTCCCTGTAAGTCTTCAGTAACTTTGATAGAGTTAGCCACCCCAAAAATCTTAATGTCATTCCATAGTCAATATCATTAATATAAATCACAAACAGCAGAGGACCCAGCACAGAGCCCTGAGGCACACGGCTTGTAACTGTGATCCAGTCAGGTCTAACTCCATTTATTACTACTGTCTACTTTCTACTCTCCAGCCAATTTTCTATCCAATTTAATAACATTTCCCCCACACCCACAGATTTAGTTTTTGTAACAAATCTTTTGTGAGGCACTTTATCATATGCTTTGTGAAAATCAAGGTAAGACAAATCCACATTATTTCCTTCATCAACTCTTGCAGTAACATCCTCTAAGAATGTCAGAAGATTTGTTAAACAAGACTTTCCCTTAATGAAACCATGCTGGCTCTTTGACACTATATCAGACTGCTTTAAGTGACTCTGCAATGTATCTTAAATCACACTCTCCAAAACCTTTCGAACTATTGATGTAAGACTAACTGGCCTATAATTGACTAGACAATGTTTATCACCTCCTTTAAATATTGGACTAATATTAGCCAACTTCCAATCTTGTAATACTCTTCCACTACTCAATGACCTATAAAAAATATTAGCTAGTGGCTCACGGATAAACTCTTTAAGTTCATTTAAATCTATAGAATAAAAGTGTCTGGTCCAGGGGATTTATCAACTTTTAGGTGTCCCAACTTTTCTCTTACAATTTCAGAACTTAAAATGATATTTTTTACATCAATATTTTCCCCATACATTAAGTGCTCTGGTTGACGCATAATACTTGTATTTTCCTTCACAAAAACTAAAGAGAACATATAATTTAATAAGTTTACCATCTCATAATCTTCCAAGATCAGTTCCCCATTATCATTTTCAAAAGGCCCAATCCTAATTGTTTGATTTAACACTCTCGGCCAACCCTCTTTCATATACAGTTTTTGCTCTTTAACTTCCTTTTTAACCAGCTCTCTTGATTTCCTATAGTCTTCCAAGTCCTTATTATTTCCAGTAAGTTTAAATTTTTTGAATTTATTATGTTTATCCCTAATATGATGTCTTAAACCTTTACTAAACCATACTGGCTTATCCTGCTCCATTGCCCTTTTTTTCTGTAGGGAATATGTATGTTCTGTATGCATATCATTTATTCCCTAAATGCTTCCCACATCTGTTCAAGATCCTCTCCCAACTTCTTAGTCCAATCGACAGAAGCAAGACCATGTATCATTTCATCAAAATTGGCTTTCCTGAAATTTAAAATCAGGGTACTATTCTTCTTCAATTCTACATGTAATGAAATCTCCCACACCTAATAGTACAATGGTTGCTTGTACTTAAATTCTCACCATCCACAACTTTGTCTATCATATTCACGTTGGATGCTAATATTAAATACAATATAGCTTCCTCTCATGTAGGTTCCATCCTGAACAATTTCCAAAAACTTATCCCCTCACTGTCAGATTTGAAATTTTCCCAATCAATACCCCTGAAATTAAAATCTCCCATAATAATAACAACATCTTTTTCGGCTACCATTCTGATCTTATTTTACAATTTCTCATTAACTTCCACATTCTGACCTTGTGGTCTATAACAAATCCCATTTACAAGACTTTTCTCTTTATATCCACTAACACTAACCCAAACTGACCCAACCTCAGTGCTATTTTCTTTGATATGCTCTAACTCAACAGTATGCAATTCACTCCTCACATATAAAGCTACTCCTCCCCCTTTTTCAATACTCTATCTCTAGTAAATAATCTGTAACATGGTATTTCAAAAACATTTATCTCATCAAAATTGTTCAAATCCAACCAAGTCTCAGTGATACCCATAATATCAAAATCCACAGTTTTCACAACTGCAATGAACTCATCAATTGTATTTCTAATAGTTTGAGCATTACAATAGTAACAATTAATCATAGATTTTAAAATATGTTCATGTTTTATACCTGTTGTACATTTTGCTGTCAAATATATTTTCTATTTTACTAATACTATAGCCCTCACCCCTGTCTAGCCCTAGTTTAAATTTACCATTACAGCTGATTTAATAGCCCTTACCAACATGCTTACCTACCTTGTTTAAGTGTAAGCCACCCATTCCAAAAAGATTAAATTTCCCATTAAAATTATCCCACAAATCCAACCAGCCTATTTGCTAATTCCTACATATTGATCTAAACCTGGCATTCGATTATAGTGACCTACTTAGTATTTCATCCTCACAATTTATTTTTGGCAATATCCCTGACAAAATCAAGCTGTGACCTCTTTCCTTAAATGCTCTTATCAGTGTTTTATACTTATCATTAAGATCCTCAGATCCATCTTTCCTTATATCATTAGCCCCAACATGTACCACAAACAGTAACCTCTTCAAAAAATGGCAAAAGTTTAATAAGGCAAGATTTTTCTCTAATGAAATCATGCTGACTATCCAAGAAAATTCTAAACTTTGTTAAATTACTTTGCAAAGCATCTTTTATCATTCTTTCAAAAACTGTTCCCATCACTCCTGTAAGACTAATAGGCATATAATTACCAAGACAGATTTTATCACCTCCCTTGAAAAGAGGAGTAACATTAGCCAACTTCCAAATTTTTGGCACCTGCCCACTATCCAAGGACTTAAAACAAATTGTATCAGGACACTCACATATTCAATCCTTAACGTCTTTCAAACCCTTGGACAAATATTATCTGGTCCAAGAGCTTTATCAGATAATTTTTTTACTGGTAACCTAGAATTTGTCATGTTGCAAATTATCACTTATCCTCAACAGGATTTACTGAGTTCCAGTAATTCACTATAGTTATTCACTATAGGAGAGTGAGATATGTAGTATTTGCATACCACACCTTCACATTTGGAAAAACATTTTATTAGTGATATACATCTATGTCTAAAATAATATGTATAAAACATCAGGTTATATAATAAACAATGTCTATTACCATAAAAATTACACTTTGATAATTAATGATTTTGTATTTTTATAGAAAGTTTATATGAGCTAAAGACAATTACAAATTTTGGAACTGTTTGGAAATTTAATAAAATTCTGGAAAAACAATGACAAAAAGACATATTTAAAAATTGTCCATAACTACTCAAATAGATATATTTTAGATTTGAGTCTATGGCGTTAAAAGTAAGAAGTATAATTTGTATATCTGATTTATGCCTAAGTAAATTTAGCAAGCAGTTATACACACTCCAAGGTGTAATTTTTTGTTTTCTACTAAAACTTACATGTTTTTAACAGGGTCTACTAATGATAAAACTTGGGATCAGCATAGTTCAAAACTTAACTTTAACTACTTAACTGCATAAGCATTCCACCTAACCCCCCCTTTTTTTTTTCCAGAATCAAGCAGGAAGCTATTTTCATCATGTGTCATTTATGTCACGCTTATTATTTCTATGGGTAGATACGTAAGTAAATTATATACATGTCAGAGTTTTATCCAGACTTTTGCAGTGTATTTTGCATGAATTGTGTCAAAATAGTTTAACAAAAAGAAAGCTTTAGAGTAAATACTGATTGGAATTGTACCTTTTACATGAATGTTTGTGAAAATATGTGACCATTTGTTTTTGTAGAGGTGCTGTATTTTGGACATAAATGTTATTTTTTATATACCCTTTTATTTTTTACTTTTGTTTGTACAAAGACAAAAGTAATTCTAACCTTAATCATTCTTCTCAGAAACATGTTTTTTTGTGTTTTTTATTCAAGTAAAGATGTTTTACTTATCAAATATTTCTAAGTAAGTATAGATCACATAGTCAATGTCAATGCTACACTAGTTGCTGAGAAACTAGTTATATGTATCTTATTATAACAGCTTTAATTAGATATATTGGTGATATTATATTTCCAAGTTTAAAACATATAAGGAATTATTAAAGATTATTATAAATGTTACAATGCTGTAAAAGTATTTTAATTTAATGTGAACAAATGCATAGCTGTTCAATAGTACAGCTATTGATGACATCGACATTTGATTCTTATTTTGTGATTTTTATATTTCGTCTTAAAATGCTTACAAAGTTATCATAACCTATGATTTTTAAGATTTATTTGGAACTTCCTGAAAGTAATCAATTGAATAACAACAAAATATGAAGTTGTTACTTTTGTTTTTAATCATAGTATTTTTTATATCAAAAAAGGATAGTAAGAAAAGGATATAAACGAATATTGTCTCTAGCTGACCTTCCTGTACTTATGAGAGAATTACAATCTCGAGTTGTTTGGCTGATTTTGGAAAAGAATTGGAATAACCAACTAAAAAAAGTTGGACTGTAAGTATTTTAATAAACAAATTAATCCTCAGTTTTTGAGATAGCAAATATTAATTTTATTACGTTATGGTTTTATTTATCATTCATATGTTATTTCTTCTATCATTTAGTTTAACTATGAATTTTAAGTGGTATTAAAGTGCTAACTCTTCTTCCATTTGGGCACATGGATTTTGAGTATGTTTGTATGTATCATGAAACTGACATCAGCTTCCCCTAGTGGTGATGTATAGAGATTAATGTTGTGAAAGATATTTAGATTAGGGTAATAACTAGACGCATGAGACATAAACTCCTTGTCTAACCACTAAATAAAGAGCCTTCCTTGATTTTGAAAATTAGTTAGTTCCCGAAATATAGTTAAAATTATTGCTCAATATTGTTCAAGATGTTGAGAAGTTGTTTAATTTTGAAACATTGTGTTATTCTGTGGTAGATTAGTTTTTTTTATTTTTCTGGTTCTTTTTCCAAATTCCTTTGGTATTTACTGAAATTAATCCCATTTAAATTTATGTTGTATTGTTTATTAACGTATGTACTACTTAGTTCTGGCCAGGCACAAATTTACTCATTATTTTTTTTTCTAAGTGATAACATTTGTATCTTTGTTGTTTGAAGTTTGTTTGTTTGGATTTCTGTTGTTATATGTAATAAATTGTTTTTATTTGAGTCTAGTTGTAGTAGCATTTTTATTAATCTGTTACAATTTATTTATTTGTTTTTAAATTTTTGATAACATACTGTTTCCCTATATTGCATCATATTAAGTAATATTGTTACGTCTCCGTTCGTTAGTTAATTTTTCCGTATAATTTCTTTCTCAAGAAACTTTAGCGATACAAGTCCTTTCTTAAATAAAACTGGTTTATTCTTTCTAAATACAACTTTGGAATACACTTAATTTCCATGATCACGCTATAACAAACGCTATAATTCACAACGAAGATCTCACGTGCTCAACAATAAATCTCTCTCTGTCCGCAGTTCAATTACACATTATTGCCGTCACGTCTTGGCCGTCTAATATGTACAAGAATACCGAAATCTAGCAACTTCCTGAGGTTTCATGAACGTTCTAGAAGTGCATGACATGTTACTAGTGTCACATGACCTCCGCTGTCGTAACACTGCCCCTTCCTTAGTATTGTTCATCCCGAACAATAACCACTTACATTAAACCAATAAATAATTAACAATAACTTAATTACATGTACAGAATTTACAAACACAAAATTACAATAAAACAAAGTCTCTTAATTTTACGGGACGTATCTTCTTTCGTACTGGTCTCCATCTCGTTGGCTTCTGCTTCATGTGGGGTTCATCTGCTTCATCAGGAAATGTCCTATCATCGGTAACAGTCACATCAGTGGTAGTAACTTCATCAAGGGCTTCACTGTTTCCCTTCTCAAAACTGAGTATAGTTTCTTCTTTGACAGTGGATTTTTCAGGTGGCACGTCTTCAGCAGCGTCATTTGTTCTGTTGTTCACTTTGTCCCAACTGAAATGTCCTGGACCATGATAATGCCAAAGCCTGTTGGCATGCACCACCTTTGGCTTACCTCGCTGACCACATTTTATCCGGAAAGTCACATCTGAGAGACGATCCACTATGTCATATGGGCCTTCCCATGGAGAAGACAACTTCGGAGACTTCCCTTTGGTCTTCCTGGGATTATACAACCACACCTTGTCTCCTGGTACAAAGCTGACTTCTGTAGATCTCTTATCATAAAATAACTTCATCGAATCAGCAGACGTTTTCAAGTTTGAATGCACTTGAGGGTGAATATCACCCATCCTTTCAGATAATACTTTCACAAACTCTGAAACATTTTCAGGCAACTCTTCATAAGGTGGGCATCCTGTTAACAGATTCACTGGCAATCGGTGTTCCCTGCTAAACATCAACTTTGCTGGAGTTTATCCAGTGGCT